CAGTATTCCCGGTTCTCAGGGTAAGGTAAACCTTACCGTGGCTTCAGGTTTGAATTCTTGATTCTTACTTAGTAAACATAATTTGTTCTCGGTTTAGCAGCGTTCGCTGGCGACAAAGAGAGACGGTTTTTAATGGGCAGTGCCTGCCACGAGATTGAACGTCGGTTCGGTGCTGACGAGTTCTCTTTTGGAACTGATGCGAATACAACATTTTTCATATATTTGTACGATTTTAAGTCTCCAATTATTATTCAGGTAAGACGCTAATAAACAGTAAATATATAATCAGATTTTAATACACCAGATTCTTGTGTCGAATATGTTTGGGCGAAGGGTTAATAATAGCAAAAAATAGCAGAGTTTTAGCCTTCGGGATACGTGTTATGCTTCCATGATCAGCGCCGTATGTTTCACCATTCTTATCGTGGCGTTGATGGTGTTGCGCTTGTGTCCATTTGTGTCATTAAACAAGAGTGGCATATTTTAATGGCGACGTTTACAGTTGTGTCTCTTGTTTCCTATCCCATGAAATGCTACTTGCTAATCTGACTCAGAATGATGAAAGACGAGTGACCTGATGAAGGCTTAGAAGTTAGGAGGTTTCGGCTGTGAATCCAACGTTCTACTCGCTAAAAGCGACTCCATAGTCGTACGTGAATGGGTGAATCTCGAGTTTTCGTATTGAATATGTTAATGGTTGCCACTCTATATGTCACTGCAGACTAGGTAGCTAATTGTTTGCCTTATGCAGGAGCTAAACGAAAAACGGAAATAAAGTGTCATCGATAAATCGGAAGAAACAGAAAAGGCAAAGAGGAGGGTTGGAAGAAAGTAATGAAGCGTGAAGGTAGCGAAGGTCGGATCGCAGGCGGGATGTGGGAAGACGAAGTATGGTCGTTTACTGTAAGGAGGAATAAGATAGGGATAGAATGAGGTAGGAAAGATACAATCGGAATGAAATAATACAGTAGGAAATAGAATCTAGCAGGAATCTAGAACGGATTGACCTGAATGCAGGCGGGAAAGTTTCAGTGGAGAAGAGAAATTAAGTCTAGAGTTACATGTATTTTGAATGGGACAAACAGACAGCGAGCATGAACGGACGCAGACGGAGATTTTTCAACCATTTGAGCGGCTAACCAAGAACTTAGATGGCCCGGGTCTGAGTTCCGGTCAGAACATTAACATTTCATCCTTCCGATATTGATATAACACTCCTTAAGAAGGAAAGAGTAGACTGAACGCTACGCTTGCCACGTAGCTATAGTCTTTATTTTTAGAATAAAAATTTTAGTTAATGGCATGGAGATAGAGATCAGCGCTACGCTATGCCATATTCTTCATTAAAAGAAGAGCGTAAGCAATGACTTGTCATGAAATTGTTAGCAGGTTCCCAGCGGTTACAAACTTTTCTTGTTTTCCATGGATGAAAGTGCAGAAAGAAAGTGCCATCAACCATCATCGATGGCTGTGAAGGTAGGTTTGAAAATGGAGTGAATAATGAAATGGAAGACTGATGGAATGAACGTTCAGAAGTAATCAGAAGACAGTCATTTCAAGGAGATCTGATGGACGAAGAGTGAGTGTTCGAAGCTCAACGCTAATTAAGAATTATAACGAAAGGGCCAAAAGTGGGATCGTCAGATGGAAACCATGCAGAAGCGGAGGAATTAACGACGGACCTAATTGAAGAAAGATTAACATTACACACGTTTGGAAAGTTTTGTGCCTTCCACCTCGTCAATTTTTTCAACACATGGTGTGGCCTACGTTTTAGCCGGATTTGAAATGGCCATGATCACTAAGGGCATCTGCATCATCACTGAGATGTGAAGCCCAGCTGACAGTTATGAAGATCAGACCATGCGACATATTATTTTTGAAGGTTTGCTCCAAATTTTGATGGCACAATAGCAGTTATCAGGTTGGCCACTCTGAAGGTCGTTGACCAGTTTGCTCAGATTTTTTGATACGGCTATCGAACATCACCTCCACCAACACGATAGAAGCTTATTTTTGAGTCTATAAGTGTTAATCCCGTTTTACATTTGCATTGATGACTTTAGTAGTCTTTATGTGTATCCTTAGTCTCCGGGATGATTTTTTTCAACAGTTTCGGCGCACAGATCATGAGCTTTAAATAGTCTGCTACATAGGCAGTGTTGCTTTGAATGCTTGTTACACACTTGCCTATTTTAAGCATGTATTGATGCTGCTTTCAGATATCATTTGCTCAAACGCCAACCATCGACTGGATGAAGTTTTTCATTACGTTTGCCCTGTGCTTCTTCATCCTGCTAGTCGTTGCTTTTGCCTTATGGAAGATCAAACAGCGGTTCGACGTCTACCAAAGGAGACAGGTGTGCTAATCTCAGTGCGCTTTATGTATCGTGGAAAGAAAACGCCGTTTCTGTTGCAGAGAATGTTCGTGGAAATGGCACAGATGGCCAGCAGGCCGTTCGCATCAGTCGAACTGGACTTATCCCTTACGTCGCCGGGTTCGAAGGTGTTCAAGAGCGGCAATTTTACAGTATTCGTTTGTTTGTTTCCATTGGTTTGCTAGCTGGCAGTGGGCTTTGCGCTACAACGTGTTTCGCATGCTGTTTAAGCGATACTTCGATAGATTGGCACTTCGATCATTCTAGACACAAAGAAACGGACGGATGACAGATATTGAGCAAAGATTTAAAGCACAATATTTATCTCTGAAAATGGCTGAACAGGGACTACCATGCATCTGATTCCTGTCCTGAATCATTGAATTACCAATTTATTGACGACAGAACGAAAATGACCTTCAGAAATCATAAAATTACTGCTGTTCATTTCTTTATTTGTTCTTTTTAAGGCCCTCCCATTCTGTTAGGTTCTTGTCATGTTTTACACTCGTTTCCAATAGTTACTTGCCTCCAAACGGACGCATTCAGTGGTATGAATGATGAGGTTTCACAATACCGTATATAACCGAACCTTCTGGTCCGCCAACTGCCCTCGGCTCTTTCCTGTACCTTTGCCATGAGACTGCTCTTTTTGATCCTCTCCCATTGTGTCCTTCACTACATGTTCCAAACCATCACGATCTTTTAGCATAGTCAGTGTTTTGCATTTCAAGTTCAGTACATCCTTACATTCAGAAAGAATTTATACCCCTTTGACGCGCCTTTCAGCCAGTCTTTGATGATGGCGGTACACTCTGACAACGTCAATGGTGATACAGGTGCGCAGTCTGCACTGATTGAGCGAACCTTTGCCCATTGCCATGAAATTATTTAAACCAGAAGCACCAAGAAAAGCCTTCCTTTCGGCTCTATAAAGCTTTCCAGTCGCTGCAAACACTTACGAATTCGGTTAGTCAATTTCCTTAACTTGCAAAATGTTCGTGAGACAGGGATCGAAATGATGGTACGGTCAATCATCCGATTAACCGTTTTCACTCTGTAAAAGTAGACTTGTTTTTCTATACTGTACTACTTCTGTTTCAAGTACGGTATTTTGCAAAAATAATGTCAAGTTAAATGTTTGTTTTCTTTAGCAGGCAGCAACGCAGGTGGCGATAGAGCCATGCAGCAACTATCGAGCAGGCGTTGTGACGGTCGCCGTGCGACTTCCGACCGGGGGCCGGAAATATGTTCCGAACGGACAGTCAGGTTTCGCCGTGGCTTCGGCGCTGTGTTTCCTGACACCCAACCAATTAGCTCAACTTCAGACGCCGCCTTCGCCGGTTCCTGATCCCAAAGCGAAGCGAAAGCGGCCCCCGTGCTTATTTTCTTCATGATTATCCGACTTGCCTACGACAGCTGATGAACTATCGACTGAATACTGGCAAAATCTGCTACTCCAGAGCCTCACCTATTCCCATACTTTCCCAGCGGAGCTGAGTGCAGCGACGAAAAACGGCAGTGCCGTCGTCGACCAGCGCGAGATTTGGTCACCTCTGCCTATGACAGTTATCCATCTGTCCACCAGGACCTACAACTACCTGCCCAGATAGGTCTCCTCCAGAATTCCCGGACTAATCGATTGACTGATCGATGTCTTTCGCGCTTAGTCTTTCATTTTACACGCTGTGCAAATACAATTTCTGTATTATTAAAACGTCTTATTTTTAATAACATGATAAATGAAAAAAATAAAATCACTAAATAAACGTACACTGAGAAGAAACATCCAGCTACGACGCACTTAGTATTAGTATTAGCGAATGATGGACACGGATACATGATAGTCATCATAAAATAGAACGCAAGAACATGACCTCACGATCAATTCAATAGCGATGTCGTCCACGACCAGTGACGAAAGAGTTCCGGACGCAGTGAGGGACTGCGACGACAAACGAAACGGACCAATAGGGGGCTCCTTACGAAGACAGCAGATTTAGATCGTCTTTGGTTGGGTCATTCGAGGCGCTGCCGATGACTGTCGCCTCATGAACGCTACTGACACCCGCCACTTTGTCGTCATTAGACATCGTCCGATAGCTCTGAGAGGACTTGTTCAGTGGCTGCTCGACTCGCTGAGCTCGCGCCTGGCTGAACCTCTCTTCTTTTGGATTACTGGAATTAGCCTATACAATTCAGGATTAGTGTTAACAGTTGACCAAAAAATGCAAACATGATATAGAACAAATCGAGATTTCAGTAAGTGATAAGTGAGATCAGTTACCTTAGATGCGGCCACGTGATTATTTTGCTGATTTGATCGATTATAGCTTTGGTTAGGGATTCAATATCAAGGGTAGGGCGCTCCCAACCTCCTCAATAAATCTAATTCTGGGTTTGAGAGTTTCATATTGTCTGACAGTTCGAAGTCACATTTCAGACTAATAGTAAACAAAATTCACTGCTGTCGGAAAAGTCACAACTTCGTATCAGAAAAGTCTGCCACGATCTGACTTTCCTCAGATTGCTACCTGCCAGCACCTTTTCTTTTAAAGTCCGTTTTTGCCTTCCATCTTGAGGACAGCCTTGTTTGAATTTTTTGAGACCAGACGAGTGTTACAACAGGTTTCGCATTACCGTAATTGAAATTGGCTTTCTGAGACGAGTCGCTGGCGTCTCGACATGGTCCGGAATACAGAAATTCGAGGAAGCCTTGGTGTACACCTAGTGCTACTTCAGACAGAGAATTCACAGCTGCGACAGTTTCAGCACGTATTGCGAACGCCTCAAGAAATGAACGCGAAGCAAATATTTTTTGCCCAGCCAACCGGCAGAAAGCTCAGGGGACGACCAAGATTAACCTGATGCAAATATACAGAAGGAGTGTGTTCCAGACTCCAGTTGTCTTCTGCCGAAGTTCAGACTATATCACAGGATTAGGAACGTTGGAAACATTGTCCGAAGCTTTTACTCACGCGACCCGAAAGGAGAAGCGGTTATGGAAGATGAAGATTATGATAATGATCACCGCGAGTACAGCTGTTATTCTAAACTGTGATAATAAGGATCTTGCCGTTTTACAAAATGTTATCCGCAATCGATTTTTATGAATACGAAGCACAAGCATGGCTGGTCAGGAGGAACGGTAGAAAACACAAAACCGTGCCACATAAGGTGTACTTGGTCCATGCTGTATCAAAAACTTATCAACTGACCAAGTGAATGCGCCCAGCATAAAAGCACATTTATAGCAAGGAACGAGTTCAACTCACTTGACATTAAGAAACTATGAAGAATTTTAGGCATGCATACGCGATCATGTATAGAAGTAGCACCATTGTGGCGCAGATAAGTTCCTTCGAACATGACGCCATCATTACAACAACGTCGATGCTTACTTTAACAATTTACAACACAGTGAAGCGAACGAATTACGGTATCTATAAATAAATAAAGGTGCATTGTAAACAATAAAAAGAATTAAATAAAGGAGCATAATAACAATGAGGCGGACAATAATAGACCACCCACCTGCGTGTACTGTTGGTACTGTGGATGGAAATTGTGGATTGCGTCCTGCATGATGTCCCGCGGATTCATCGTTTCTTTTAACGAGCTGGAGATGCTTTGCAGCGCGACCTGGCGACTACCGAACGAACTCGTGCGAACTAAAATCAACGAACGTAGAAGTAACCACGACTTTCCTATCTGGTGCAAAATTAAGAGCGTAAAAAGAAACAAATTAAAATTCACTACTCGAAGGGATCACCAAAAAAATTCAATGCTCAATAACAAAAATAATGCATTCGTTCTGTTTGTTTCCTGCTGCTGTAGAAAACATACAGAGAAGAAAGGACAAGAAGCGACAATGTTAACAAACGCAGAGCAGACAATTTTAACTTTCACGAACTTTACTTTTCACTAGCCAAATCATCTTACAGCGGCAGTCGCACTCCGTGGGCGAACCGCCGGTGCCACATACCCGTTGGT